ACACTGACTAAATTGTCTGGGACCCCATCTCGTCATGCAAAGAAAAGATTGAAACGGGACAGATCGTTGCACCCAAGGTCCAAATTACCATGCTGCAAGGTTAAAGGACTTCTTTGATGACCTGTCACACACAGTCCTGAGATCGTGGCTCCAGGGCCCCCTGATCGTTCCTATTCTACCCTCCAACCTCGCCGCATCTTAGCAAGAAAAAGGGGTACCTGGAAGTTTATTAGGCACTAGCAATTACCCAGGAGGCCCTTAGGGGCCCGTATTAAGGAGGGTGCACTTTGACCCTTTCTTTAAACCCCTTCAACAAAGCCAGAGTAATCCACACCACTGGGACTGAGCGGCACGCTTTCATGAAAGCACAGACACATGGTATCACAATAATAAAATGAGGAATAAGGCTCGCGCTGGAATATGATGTGTTTCAAATAGACATAATGGTGTAGACATGTTGTTTCTCTGCATGTGTTTTTCAGGATATATATATATATATATATATATACTGTATATATATATATGTTGCTTTGAATGAATTTCCCTCTCAAGGGACGAGCTTTTTATGAAATATGAAGGATAATAAAAATGATCACTGTTGGCAGTGCATCCATTGATCAAATAAAACTAAATTTGACTTGACTCAGTCGGAGTAAAGCATGTCTAATATGGACCTAACCAGGAGTAATGCATCGACTGACCATGAAACAGACAGGCTAAAATGTGGCAGCAACAAAAGTGTCGAGGAGATGACAGACTATTTATAGACGTCACCATGAATAAAAATATTACTGCCCCAAGTTTCAAGGTGGTTTGGTGGGAGATGAAACATCCATCTGATTTTACTGTAGTCACACTAAACACAAAGTGTTCTCTGACTTGAATCTAAAGGATGAACTTTGGATATTAAAGTCCTGCTGGAAAAACAAAAGAAACTTCAGAATACCCTCAGTCGAGCAAGACAATGAAGCAATAACTCCAGGGAGTGAGAAGAGAATCTCAGCATCAATATGCATTGACTTGAAGTTTCAACTTGTGAATGTTTAATTTATGTTTAATTGAATGATGTCATCTAAAACCTATTTAACATATAGACTTTTATAATCCTATATGTTGCAAGAAGAGTAATTAAGTTGATAAAAACCTTCCAGTGGTTTTCAAATTCACGAAGCCTGACTGCTGGGTTTGAGGTGTGGAGCACTTCCATATGTCAAGGCTGTTTGCTCATATATAGTTATAATGATTCTTCATAGTAAGTGGTCAAATTAATTTCTATGAGGAACAACACTGAAAATAATGTTTTTCAAATTACACTGAAATCCAAAATTAATTATCTTGCTAAAAACCGATGTCAAAAGGCTCACAGAATTCAGCTCCAGGGCCACTTTCTGGTCAACACCCACCCTTTACAAACATGACAGATTGGGTCGACACTGTCTTCAGCTTCACAATACATATTTACATATATCATTAGAAGACACAAGCACGAGAGGCTTTTAGTTACACTGCTTGATTCAAATTGATCTCTCGGTGTGTAGTAACCTCCCATAAGAAACACATTAGTCACACAAAAACAAATGGAAGCCATCTGTAGACAACATTAATCACCCCATAATGTAGAGCACACTTGTGGCAAATGCAAATGGTATCAAATGATTATGAAAATTAAACTGCACCTGGACGGCTTATCTATTCTATGGGTTTTACCGCATAATTATCGGTGAGTGCACACTTGTGTGATTTAGCACATATTACAAACATAACTCCATGTCAGGGCATCAGTGGAATATTTATTTAACACATTAATTTGCCCTTTTAGGACTAGCTCAGTTAGTTAAAATGACTTTTGTTTAATATACTATGTTGTCTGAAGCTTTTGATGATATTGCCATTAAAATCTGAGGAGTGCAGGAAGTACCTGTTGTGTACTAAAATTATTATAATTATTTTGATTGGTCACAAGGTAAATAATGATCAAACACTTTGTCTGTTTTTTTTTTTTTTTGTTTTGTTTTTTTGTTTTTTTCATTTTTACTGCAGGTTACGGAGGTTCCTGGGTGAAAATATGTACCAGAAGATCCAGAGCTGGGGTTAAAACCCAAGGAAAAATCACTGATATTGTGGGGTTTAGCAGGATTAGCTTATCTTAGCCTTGGAGGCGGAGCTTTGTCACACCAATAGAGAAACCCACAGAAGACAGAAGACCTGTGTTTACATTTCCTCAAGCAGCAACACTGACTTTGCACCCAATGTTGACCAGTTAGTCCTGCAAACCTGCTGTTTTGCTTTTCACTTCATAATATTACTTATATTTCTATGAAACAATATTTCGAAAGGTTTGCTTAACATTACGACACCATTCATAGCAGCTTGTGCAGAGGAAGACAGTTTAAAACAGTGAATAAAAATTGGTACATTTTTCTCCTCAAGCTAATGTTCAGCTGAACTTTAAGATGTTAAACTGATGCTCATTTAGCCCCTGAAGTGACCAGCACTGAAGCAAATGTTGAGGTTAAACACAGCGTGTTCTCAGTAAATGGAAATAAGCAAAAAAATAATCAGTTGGCCAGAGTTAGATTGTGATGGATAGTCTCTTTGATGGCAGGGCATAGAATGAGGGAGAAGGAAGTGCCATAGAGTTCACACTTGGATGTGAGGGATTGAGTCAGTCATCTGTCAGTCCGTCAGCTTGCAAATTGTCCCAACATGGTGCAATCTGTTTTGGTGTGAACACACACACTCAAGCATCGTGATGGTTTTGCTCTTTAGCCTCGCCGCTTTATCAAGGCTGCTTACACTCACACCGAGCTGTCTTCTCTGTTCCTCCTTTAAGGGTAGCTTGTCACCCAGGGCAATATCATTCTCGGTACTTGGACCCAATAGGGGCCCCCACCAGAAACCACCTTCCATCAGCCACTCTCATTATCCAGAGTGGACCCCCTCTGATCCCTATCAACTATTACACCATGATGAAACGGTCTGCTCGGGACTTGTGGATGTGGATGTGTGTGTTTGTGTGTGGATCAGGGCGGGGGTGGGGTGGAGGGATTCTCACGGTTGGAGA